TTTGGGGGGGCTCACCCCCCACGAGGAGTCGAAAGTTCGGGCCACGTCTGCAGCACTCTCTCGGCTGGAGGGCGGGCCGTCTTCAAGAGGTGGCTCTCGGCCCAGCGCTGCGCACAGTCGTTTCAGATTGTCGCAGCAGGCTTCCAGGCATCGCATGGTCGCCGAAGTCCCAGGAACTGCGTTCTGGCGCGATTTGGGACTATCAGGACGCAGCTGTCACGTTGCCTCGCGGTGTTGACAGTCCTTGACTGATGTTCTGGCACCGGTTGGGACTGTCAGGACGCAGCAATCATGTTGATCCGCGGCGTTGAATTCCCAGAAACGGTGTTTTGGAACGGTTGAAGATGCCAAAACGGCCCACTTACCGCAACGAAGCACACCTTGTAAGGACCTCGCAAAAGGGTTCTTGCAGGCAGGGTTTATTGCAACATCGTTGATGCGTCTTGGGTTTGCATTGATCCTGCCATCCCGCAGCCGCTGCTGCCCTCTCTGCTCTAGAGAGGTGGTCGTACCTCGGGCGCCCCTCTATGGTCCCTGAACCTCCTCCCCCTCCTCCTCCTCCTCCTTCTCCTCCTCCTGGTCCTCCTCCTTTCTTCCTCCTCCCCCTCCTCCTCCCAGTCCTCCTCCTCCTCCTCCATCTCTTACTGCCCCTCCCTCATCGTTCCCCTGTTATCTGTCCTCTTCGCCCCATGTCCCTGCTCCTAATGCCCCACCTCTTCCCAATGTTCTGCCTGTGCCCACCATATCCCTGCTCCCATATCCCTGCTCCCCTTCCCCATTTTATTCCTGTGCTCCCCCACTCGTCCGAAGACGCAGGGGAGATGGAAGAGCGACGAGATGCGGGAGACCAGCAGACATGTCTGACGGAACCTTGTCGGCGAGGGCCGGGGACGGAAGCGCAGGGAGGGGGACGAGGAGGAGGAGGAGGAGGAGGAGGAGGAGGAGGAGGAGGAGGAGGAGGGGAGGAGGAGGAGAGGAGGAGGAGAGGAAGGAGGGAGGAGGAGAAACGAGGAGAAAGATGAGGAGGAGGAGGAGGAGGAGGAAGAGGAGGAAGAGGAGGAGGAGGATAGAAAAGGCGAGAGGAAGACCGGGGAGGATGGACGACGGCAGGGGGACGATGGGAGATCGGGGAAAGGGGAGGGGAGGAGGCCAGGATGGAACAGGAGGGAGGCGGAGGGAGGGAGAGGGGAGGAGGGGTGGATGAGGGGAAGAGAGTGGTGGGGAGGGGGGGGCAGGGAGGATGGCAGGAGAGAGGAGGAGAGGTGGGAGGGGGGATGCCAGACGCGAAGCAGGAGGCACATCGCACGATGGAGAGAGGGAGCAGGACCGAGGCACGAGCAGAGGGCCAGGAAGACCCTCCTCCTCTCCTTCTCTCCCCCTCCCCCTTCTCCTCCCCCTCCCCGTTCTCCTCCCCCTCCCCCTTTCTCCTCCCCCTCCTCCCCCTCCTCCTCCTCCTCCTCCTCCTCCTCCTCCTCCTGCGTCCTGCTCGCTGTTCTCGAACTTCGCCTCTTCGGCGCGCTTGGCAATCCACTTGTCCATGGTGAGCGACCAGAGAACCAGCTTCCACGTCTTCCTGGGCTTCTGGGACACCACCTCGAGGACAAGGATGCAACAATGAGAGAGGAGGACGGAGCGGGCGTGTGTAAGGGGGGGTTCTGGGCTGCTCGTCTTAAGTCGGGCCTGTCCCTCTACAGGAGGGATGTTGAACAAGTGTCAAAACATAGTCTGCGGACTTTTGTTTGTTTTACCATTTTTGTTTCTGTGACCATATGTAATGTTTGTCTTCGAAGATTGGCCTGTAGGGGGACAAGTCGAAAGCTGGGCGAAGGCTGCTAAAACCGTGGCTGTTCAAACGGCCCTCCCAGCAGGAAAAAACAACTTCCCGGAATGAGGCGCGGCACGCGAAACAGTCAACGGGCTTCTTCACGGAAAGACGAAGACAATTTCCCAGAGGTCGATTTTAGCAGCCACGGATTTAGCAGCCCCTGCCCGGCTTCCGAACAGGCCCGACCTAATGCTCGTCCCAGGGCGGTCCTGGGAAAGACCCTCCGTTCAGAGTTGCTCCTCCCTCTCCCAGCGGCCACTCTTGGCTCTCCAAGCGCACCAGCCCTAGGTGCCTCGAGCCAAGCTGCCATCGAGGTCGCAAATGGAGTCGCAAACATCGGGGATCTCCTGACTCGGGCCGTGCGAAAGGGGGGGATAGCAAAGGGGGTTTGAGAATCAGCTCACGTAGTTAACTTTCCCAGCGCCTCCCGGCGCCGGGAGGCGCCCATGTATCGAAGAATGGGCCCGGCGGCGGGGCCGAAACCAGCTGCACGCAGCAGATTTCGTATCACCCCTTTCCCAATCCCCCCCTTTCGTCCGGCCCGACTGACCCGGGTCAATCCCATACCGGGTCGGTCAGGCCTTGTTGGATCCTGCAGGATCCTGCACCGAAGCCCGGGTCAATGCGACCCTGACCCTGCAGCATCCTGCCAAATCCGGCGCTCCGACTGACGCCCGTTTGCACTGACCCCTGTCTCTTAGGCCCCGGAAGGGAGCCCCTTGGCATCGCTCGGACGTGTGCATTTTTCCTTCGGCGAGGACCATGGAGGAGCATCCTTGATCATTTGGCGCAAAAACCACGCACGAAACCGACCAAAAACACAGGGATTGGACGTCCGAGCGATGGCGAGGCCCCTTCTTCCCGCCCAGGCAGGGGAGGGGGTTCCCTCCCTCCCTCCCTCCCCTCCCTCCCTCCCTCCCCTCCCTCCCTCCCTTCCTCCCTCCCTCACTCCCTACGGTCCCGGGGGATGCCAGGGAGGCTTCGTTCCCGGGGAGGCCCTGGGTCAGAGTACCAGTCCCTCCTCTGTCTCCTTCTCGGGCAACAGTCTGTTAAAATGGGTACCTCTTCCCAGGGCTGGACCTAAACATTGTTTTCGTTTTGTTGTCGTTTTGTTGCTCGTTCTGCTATACCTGCTTTCCTGTACCTCCCTCCCAAAACGAAACAAACAAAACACAGCCGAAATCCAGCAAGACAGCGTTTAGGTCCAGTCCTGCCTCTTCCGTACACTTCAGACGGTCCGCGAAGCCCGAAACGGCCCAAGACATCCCCAAGATGCCACAGGATGGCTCCAAGAGAACACCCAAGAGAGCTCCCAGAGGCATGCATCAGTGACTTGCCGCTGGTGTTTGATTCCTTGTCGCGCTGGTTTGGCGTGCTTCCGACCGCCCTAAAACGGCCCAACAGCACCAATACGGCCTGATAACCCGACAAGAGGGCCCTCAAGCGAGAGCCAGAGGGCATCCCGAACTGCAATGTCGAGCCATTCCTCTAAAGATACCCTCCGAGACCGTCACCAAATCCCTCGAAGCCCCAAACCGCCCCCTCGTGGCCCCCCACTGCGCCCCAAGGAGGCCCCACGAAACCCCAGAAATGCCCACTGCCGGGCATCCCAACAACCCCTCCCACGTGCGTCTACGAGTCCGCGACCTTCCCCAGGCTTTCCTCTGGATCCCCCTTCAGGGTCGGCAGAACTGGCTGCGCCAGGTCTCCGATCTGGATGTAGGTCGGGCATGTCTCCCTGCAGGCCTGTGCTGGACGGAAGAACCAGTACGCAAAAACTGCTCCAATATATATATATATATATATATATATATATATATAGATTAAACATCCTAGAACATCCGTCCCAAAACTATTCTCCCTTTTTCAAATAATCTAAAACATAGTCTAACACATCCTAGGACATCCGTCCCCAAACTATTTTTCCCATTTTCAGACAGATTCCTCCCGTGGAAGGACGCGCCCGACCTAAATCTGGAGGTGGGGCGCCACCGCCGCAGAGGGGGGGGAAGGTTGAGCAGGGAACGGCCGTCCCGGCATTCCTACAGTCATGCCACGACATGTTCTCAGAACCCAGCAATGTTCCAAGAGCCAAAACAATGTTCTTCGAACATGAATCCGATGCGTTAAAACAAGACAGTCCCAGCCAGAAGTGTTCTAAGAACGTGTCGCTGGAACCTAAAAAGGTTCTCAGGACATTGTTTGGTAGGGCTATAGGCGAGCCAGGACGCTTCGCCACTGCCTGAGACGGAGGGGGGGGGGTCCCGAGGTCCACCGCGGACCGCGCACGACGCCCGCCTGCGCCCCCGGCGGCGGGCACCACGCGGCGGAGAGAGCAGCGACGTGCGGGGCGCGGGCCGCGCACGAGACGAGAACACGGAGGGGGGTGGACAGAAGCGAAGGGAAACTGGGACACACAAATAAATGCACACAAATAAACAGATTCCCAGTAGTCCCACCAGCCCTTTAGGGCGTGAGTGGTTTAGGGAGCCCCCTCTGTCCTCAACCCCCCTTCTTCCCCTTCGGGGAGGGGTTTACCCATCCCCCTACCCCCTCCCCCTGGGCCTGGAGAGGGAGTCCCGCGGGTGGTCAGGGGAGTCTTTTTCGACTCCTGGGAGGGCTAAAAAACGACGACCCTCACGAGGATTCTGCTCCCGACGGGGGGACGCTCTTGTAGTACCCCCCTCTTCGTCGACGCCAAAAACATTGATCGTACGATGGTTTTGGCCCCATTCTGGCCTTCTCAGGGGGTCGCGCTCCTCGTCCTTCATAGCAAAATCATTGATTTTACAAAAAGGTTTTGGGCTCATTTTGTCCTTCTCAGGGGGGCAGCTCTCATGTGCGCTTCTGAGGGGGTCGCAAGAGGCCCCAAGATGGCCCCAAGAGGCCCCCAGGAGGCTCCCAAGAGGCCTCCAAGAGGCCCCCCCAGAGGCCCCCAAGCGGCCCCAAGAGGCCCCCAAGAGGCCCCCAAGAGGCCCCCAAGAGGCCCCACGAGGCCCCAAGAGGCCCCCAAGAGGCCCCCAAGATGTCCCCAAGAGGCCCCCAAGAGGCCCCACGAGGCTCCAAGAGGCCCCCAAGAGGCCCCCAAGAGGCCCCAAGAGGCCCCAAGAGGTCCCCAAGAGGCCCCCAAGAGGCCCCCAAGAGGCCCCAAGAGGCGCCAAGAGGCCCCCAAGAGGCCCCACGAGGAGCCCCAACGACTCACACCAGGACGAGGGGCCCGAACGACTCACACCACGAAGAGCCCGAACGACGCACACCAGGAGGAGGGGCCCGAAAAGACTCACAGCGGGACGAGGCGCCCGAACAACTCACACCACGAGGAGCCCGAACGACTCACACCAGGACGAAGAGCCCGAACGACTCACACCACGAAGAGCCCGAACGACTCACACCAGGAAGAAGGGCCCGAACGACTCACACCAGGACGAAAAGCCCGAACGACTCAAACCACGAGGAGCGCTTTCTCTCCCTCCTCCTCCGCCTCGTCCCTCTCCCGCTCCCACCACAAGGAGGGTGTACAAGGAGGCGGGGGGAAGGAGGAACAGGGGAGATATGCGGGGGCAGGCGGAAACACGCCTGAACAACACGACTCTCGGCATGCTTCGCAAGAGTTGCTGTTGTGGGATGGGCTGGTGGGGATACGCGAAGCGTAAAGAATTTCCTATATGTTCTGGGTGTTTGCCTTCCCCACCACTTCCAGTATTTTCCCATATTTCCCTGGGAATCGACGATTAATTGTGTCTGTGTGTTTTTCCCCTCCTGAAGAACCGGGGGACGGGGACGAGATTATCCCGGCAAAGCAACCTAACATCAATGTGTAGGAGCATATCTGGAAGCATTCCCCTTAAGATTCGGATGAGAATCCAGTTGTAGAATTCTGCTGTTCTCGCAGTCGTAGTCGCATTCGCGATGACAGTCGCAGTGGCAACGGCAGTCGCAGTCACAGCCTCAGCCTCAGCCTGCCTCAGCCTCAGCCTCAGCCTGCCTCAGCCCTCAGCCTCAGCCTGCTTCAGCCTCAGCCTCAGTCTGCCTTCAGCCTCGGCCTCAGCCTCAGCCTGCCTCAGCCTCAGCCTCAGCCTCAGCCTCAGCCTCCTCAGCCTGCCTCAGCAGCCTCAGCCTGCCTCAGCCTCAGCCTCAGCCTCAGCCTCAGCCTCAGCCTCAGCCTCAGCCTCAGCCTGCTTCAGCCAAAGCCTCAGTCTGCCTTGAGCCTTCAGCCTCAGCCTCAGCCTCAGCCTCAGCCTGCCTCAGCCTCAGCCTGCATCAGCCTCAGCCTCAGCCTGCTTCAGCCTCAGCCTCAGTCTGCCTTCAGCCTCGGCCTCAGCCTCAGCCTGCCTCAGCCTCAGCCTCAGCCTGCCTCAGCCTCAGCATGCCTCAGCCTCAGCCTCAGCCTACTTCAGCCTCAGCCTCAGTCTGCCTTCAGCCTCGGCCTCAGCCTCAGCCTGCCTCAGCCTCAGCCTGCATCAGCCTCAGCCTCAGCCTCAGCCTGCCTCAGCCTCAGCCTGCCTCAGCCTCAGCCTCAGCCTGCCTCAGCCTCAGCCTCAGCCTGCTTTAGCCTCAGCCTCAGTCTGCCTTCAGCCTCGGCCTCAGCCTCAGCCTGCCTCAGCCTCAGCCTGCATCAGCCTCAGCCTCAGCCTCAGCCTCAGCATCAGCCTGCCTCAGCCTCAGCCTGCCTCAGCCTCAGCCTCAGCCTCAGCTCCTGCCTCAGCCTGCTTCAGCCTCAGCCTCAGTCAGCCTCAGCCTCAGCCTCAGCCTGCCTCCTCAGCCTCAGCCTCAGCCTAAGCCTGCCTCAGCCTCAGCCTCATCAGTAGCCTGCCAGCCTCAGCCTGCCTCAGCCTCAGCCAGCCTCAGCCTCACCCTGCATCAGCCTCAGCCTCAGCCTCAGCCTCAGCCTCAGCCTGCTTCAGCCTCAGCCTCAGCCTGCTTCAGCTCGGCCTCCGCCTCAGCCTGCCTCAGCCTCAGCCTGCTCAGCCTCAGCCTCAGCCTCAGCCTCAGCCTCAGCCTCAGCCTGCCTCAGCATCAGCCTGCCTCAGCCTGCCTCAGCCTCAGCCTCAGCCTGCTTCAGCCTCAGCCTCAGTCTGCCTTGGCCTCAGCCTCAGCCTCAGCCTCAGCCTCAGCCTGCTTCAGCCTCAGCCTCAGCCTCAGCCTGCCTCAGCATCAGCCTGCCTCAGCCTCAGCCTCAGCCTGCCTCTGCCTCAGCCTCAGCCTGCTTCAGCCTCAGCCTCAGTCTGCCTTCAGCCTCGGCCTCAGCCTCAGCCTGCCTCAGCCTCAGCCTGCCTCAGCCTCAGCCTCAGCCTGCCTCAGCATTCAAAATGTGGCCCGGGAATGAAATTCTGGGAACTCGAAGAACACGAAGTGGCCTACAGTTGGCTCCGGGTGACAGAAAGAAGATCAGGACCCCAGGACGGGGGGAGGGAAGAGAGGATGGCACGCACATCAGAATTAACTCTAGGACAGACTGCATCGTGATGAATGGTGCCACCCCGAACACTCTTCGAATACAGGAACCTCAAACCTCCTCCCCGGTGCTGGGCCACCTCGTACCCCCAGGCCGACTCTAACCCCGCACGCCGCCACCACCACGCCGGAGCGCCGCAGACGGGGAAACCAACAGGTACCGATACCGCTTCCCCCTCGGACCTCCCCCGGGGTGCGTTCTGACCAGAATGTCGAGGCGAATCCAGCGGTGGCGACGAGGGTCTCCCAGGAGGCCAAAAAAGAGGAAGACGGCCGAAGGGTAGAGGAGAGGTATGGGTACATTTTCCTCCTCTGAGCAGAGGCTACGACGACGACGACGACGACGACGACGACGACGACGACGACGACGACGACGACGACGACGACGACGACGACGACTGCGACGACGCCGGAGGGCCGGAGAGCGCCGGAGAGCGCCTGGTATTCGTCCGGCTGCAGGGCCTGCCCGTTGGGCGTGCGGAGCAGCAGACCCACGACGTCGGCGTCGTCGCCCTCTCCTCGCGGCAAGGTGGCGGGGGCCAGCGGGCGGTGCGAGGAGCAGCACACGCAGCGCGTGGTGTGCAGCGCGCCTGTGTGCACTGAGAGGGCTCAAATGTGCGACCATTCTGGCTTCAAGAATACGAGGAGGATGAGGAGGATGAGGAGGAAGAGGATCGAAGAGGAGCAAGAGAAGAAGGAAGAGGAGGAGGATAGGGCATGACCCCTGCTGTCGAACATAAGACTCAAGAGAACCATGGCCCCCGCAGTCGCGCAGAATATTACCTGTTCTTGCGCCTGCGGTGCTAGCTGGCGTGAATGGGCATGCGATTTGCCACGCAGGGCAGGCGCACTGAGGCGCCTGTTAAAGCCCGGAGAAGATCGTAGAGAGAAGGGGTGGACAGGCAGGCGCCCTCCCGCGCCACGGCCTACAGGACACAGGCTGGCGCCCTCCCGCGATTGAGGGAGTGGTGATTGTGGGGTCGTCGGCTGTCTGCGGGGAGCAGCACGCAGATGGGGTCAGAGGAACAGCAGCTGGCATAGCCTCTCGGAGATCCGCGCTTGATTTCTTGGATCGGCGCGGCCTCCGGGCGTGGCGCGCTCCGTGCGCTGGGGAGGAGGGTCCAGCGCCGATCCGATAAATCCGCGCGGAGCCCCGAAAACTGATGCTCGGGTTGGAATACCATGTGGGACCTGCTTTAGAGCAGGAACATACCGTACACGGGTCTACCCTTTCTCCGACCTTGTGCTGCGCCGAACGCAACGGCCACGTTGTCTACGGACGTGCTCACCCCGAACGTGTCCAAAGTCTACAAGTGCGCAACGACGCCCAGTGTGCCTGGAGACGCCTGTGGCTAGACAGAGAAAACGGTGTTGGGCACACGCCCGAGACCTTCCGACCAGCCATAACTGGGGGAGTTGTGGTCCTTACCCCCCTGGGGGAACCCATCGCATCGACGATCTCTCGAGAGGGGTGTCGAAATCGATGGGTCCCCCAGGGGGGTGAGGACCACAGCTCCCCCAATTGTGGCTGGCCTGACCCTGGTCTCCCTCCTCCTCCTCCTCCTCCTCATCCTCCTCCTCCTCCTCCTCCTCCTCCCTTGCCCACCAAAAGTCTGTGCCGAGGCTGCTCCCTGGACGCGCGAGGGCTCGGGGGCCTCGGCCTGCCCCGGAAGGGCGGACGGGCCTCGCCTGCCGCCTCCTGCCCTCCTCCTCCTCCTCCTCCTCCTCCTCCTCCTCCTCCTCCTCCTCGTCTTCCTCCTCCCCTTCCTCCTCGTCCTCCTCCTCCTCCTCCTCCTCCTCCTCCTCCTCCTCCTCCTGTGCGAGGGGCAGGTCAGGAGGACAAAAAAACACACAGACACAATTCATCGTCGATTCCCCAGAACATATGGGAAAATATGGGAAGGGGGGGGGGGAATACAAAAACCCAGAAAATACAGGAAAATATGGGGATCCGGTTATGTGTGTGTGTGTATTTATTTGTGTGTCCCAGGGCCCCTTCAGCAGGGGCCAGCGCCTCAACAGCAGCCCGGCGCCAGCTCTCTTCCTCTGGGGCGCATGCCCTCGAAGCTTCGCCGTCGCTGCAGGCCCCTGCCGCTGTTCGGGCACACCCTCTTGGGCAGGACGTGGGCAAGCGGGCGACGCGAAAGGAGGGAGGCTTGGCCCGAAAAAGCGTCAGAACATTGCTAACAATCCATATGTGGAGAACGAACAACACACACCCATACCTATAAGGGGGTCGGAAGGAGAAGGACTGGCTATGGGTATGGGTGCGGGTTGTCGGAACCCTGCGGAGGCTCCCGTTCGAGCGGGGACCCCCATCGGACAACACGCACCCATAGCTCACTCCGCCCCTCCTATGGGTATGGGTGCGTGTTGATCGTTCGTCAATATGCGTCCCTGGAATCCAAACATCGGGGATCCTCGGACGATGCGTCCAGTTCGATCGCAATTCGCCTAAGCGCCGGGAGGCGCAGACTGTCCTCTGCTTTCAGGCCGAAGGCACGCAAGCCAGAACCTCGGCCCCCCACACCCTCCCGCCTCCAAGCCATCGAAGCAGTCACGGCAGCAGGCTCGAGGGAGGGGGCGGGGAGGAGGAGGCAGGATGGGGGGAAGGGATGGACAGGCCAAGTCAGAGAGTTTGGCATGCTCCCCCGGAAGCTTCTGCTCCACCCTGCGGGCCAGGAGCGCCACTGGGGTGTCGGCTGAGGCGAGACCCAGGATACGTACAGTGGAGGCCAGCCCACGAGAAATCGTCCACAAGAAACCCAACCCTGAGAGCCCAAGACGGATGTTTGGTCTGGGACCGTCACGCTCTCCATGGCAAAAACATCGGAGGCAAGCGGGGTGCTTCTTGGTATGGGCCGCCACTGTGCCCGGGGACCAACTCGGGTGCCCCAAGGCCGAGGGAGAGGGGGAGTGACGAACGCGAAGGCCTGGGGCAGAACGTCGAGGGGGAGCGGGGAGGAGGAGGGGGGGGAAGGAAAAGGGAGGAGAAGGAGGAGGGGGAGGAGGAGAATGAGGAGGCGGAGGAGGAGGAGAAGGAGGAGGACGAGAAGCAGGAGGAGAAAGAGGAGGAGGAGGAGTAGGAGAAGGATCGAGGAGGATGAGGATCGAAGATCGAAGATCGATGCTGTTGATGCCGATGATGCTGATGATGATGACGACGATGATGATGCTGATGATGAGGATGAGAAGAGGATGATCATGAGGATGATGATACTGAGGATGCTGCTGATGATGCTGCTGCTGATGATGATGATACTGATGATGATGATGCTGATGCTGATGCGGATGCTGATGCTGATGCTGATGCTGATGATGCTGATGCTGATGCTGATGCTGATGCTGATGCTGATGATGATGGTGCTGATGCTGATGCTGATGCTGATGCTGATGCTGATGCTGATGATGATGATGATGATGATGATGATGATGATGATGATGATGATGATGATGATGATGATGATGATGATGATGATAAGGAGGAGGAGGAGGAGGAGGAGGATGATGAGGAGTGAGGAGGGGAGGAGGGGAGTAAGATGGAGGAGGAGGAGGGGAGAAGGAGAAGGAGGAGGATCGAAGAGGAAGCAGTAGGAGGAGACGGAGGAGGGAGGAGCACGAGGAGGAGGCGAAGGAGATACATAGGAGGAGGAGGAGATGTAGGAGGAGGAAGATGAGGAGGAAGGAGGAGGGACTGGGAGGAGGAGGAGGAGGAGGAGGAACTGGGAGGAGGAGGAGGAGGAGGAGGAAGGAAGAGGAGGAGGAGAAGGAGGAGGAGGAAGAGTGGCGGAGACCGAGGAAGGCGGAGGAGGAGGAGAGAAGAGGGATGACGAGGAGAGGCGAGGATAGGAGCGCGAAGAGAAGGAGGAGGAGGAGGAGGAGGAGGAGGAGGCGGCGGAGGAGTGAGGGGAGGACGGAGGGGAGGAGGATCGAAGCAGAGATAGAAGCGCAGGAGGAGGAGGGAGGATACAGAGGAGGAGATGGGATCAGGAGGAGGATGATCAGGAGGAGGATCGATGAGGAGGAGGAGGAGGATGAGGAGAAGGATCGCAGAAGAGGAGGATCGCACATGAGGAGGAGAAGAAGGAGGATGATCGAGGAGGACGAGGAGGAGGAGGAGGAGGATCGAAGAGAAGGAGGGGGAGGACGATTGAGGACGAGGAGGAGGATCGAAGAGGAAGAGGAGGAGGAGGATAAGGAGGAGGAGAGGGAGGATCGATGATGATGATGATGATGATGATGATGATGATGATGATGATGATGATGAGGAGGAGGAGGAGGAGGAGGAGGAGGAGGAGGAGGAGAATAATAAGGATCGAACAGGAGCAAGAGAAGGAGGATCGAAGAGGAGGAAGATGATGAGAAGAAGGAGGATCGAGGAGGAGGAGGAGAGGAATCGAGGAGGAGGAGGAGGAGTAAGAGGAGGAGAGAGTAGGAGGAGCGAGATTGATGATGGAGGATGAGGAGGAGGATCGAAGATGAGGAGGATGATCGAAGAGGAGGAAGAGGAGGACGAGGATCGAAGAGGAGGAAGCTGATGAGGGGATGGATCGAGGAGGAGGAGGATCAAAGAGGAGGAGGAGGATCAAAGAGGAGGAGGTGGAGGATGATGAGGAGGATGGGGATCGATGAGGAGGAGAAGGAGGATCGAAGAGGAGGAGGAGGAGGATCGAAGAGGAGGATGATCGAGGACGAGTAGGAGGAAGAGGAGGAGGATCGAAGATGATGATGAGGAGGACAATCGAAGAAGAGGAAGAGGAGGAGGAGGATCGAAGAGGAGGAGGATGAGGATCGATGAGGACAATCGATGATAATGATGAGGAGGAGGGGGCCGAAGTCCCAGCGTGTGTCTCTCCCCTCCTGCCTTGCGAGGCGGGGATCCATCCAGAAGACCCGCCCGGGCCTGCGATGTGCGGGGGCACCGCCTGGGCCTCCGGTGTGCGGAAACCCAACCCTGAGACCCCAGGACGTCCATTGATTTTTGGTGTGGGAACGTCACGCCTTCCACCGTAATACCATCGAAACCCAAGACACCCAGGGCAACCTGGAAGCAAGAGAGGTGTTTCGTGGTATGGGTCTTCACTCTATCCACATCTGGCGAGACCAACATGTGCTGATGCTGCTACTCCTCGCACCTCCCCCGGGGTGCGTTCTGACCAGAATTTCGGGGCGAATCCAGTGGTAGCGACGAAGGCCTCCTGGGAGGCCTGCCAGGGCGAAAATGAGGGAAGTGTAGTGGTATCGGTACCTTTTCCTCCCCTGACCCAAGGGCCAGAGTATATCCATATCCATCGTCTGCCGAGGTGCCCCCCGAAGCTCGATCCCCCAGGCGGTGGTCATAGATAAACCCACGCCTCGGATTGCTCCTCTTCCCGCTCGGAACACTACTAAAAGCTCACATGGGGAAACGGATTAGACTTGTCGGCATAGCCAGCCTAGAGCCATGCTATTGTACCACTAAGCCGTGGACAAACGCAACTACGATAACCTCGACCACATCGACGACGACGACGACGACGACGACGATGACGCCGCCGACGACCACAACCGCGACGACCTCGACCTCCCCTGAGATCCGACGTCGCCAGAAAATGCAGCATTGCGAAAAATCGCGACCAGAGCGCTAGACCCATACTTCTGCTGCACGGTTCGAGGTGCATCGATCTGTGCTTGTCACAGGGCCCGAAGCCCGGCGAGAACGCCTGTGGTGAAAGCCACAATGCCCGGATCTTACGTAGGGCCGAGCACGACCTTAACGACGGACGACGATGACGACGACGACGACGACGACGACCGACGCCGACGACGACGGACGACGGACGACGGACGACGACGACGACGACGACGACGGACGAAGACGACGACGACGACGGACGACGACGACGAACGACGACGGCGACGACGACGGCGCCGAACACGACGGCGCAAAATGCGGGCGGCGGCAGGCTGGTGCGTCTGCCCGGAGAATTGTATTGCATTGTATAGCAACCAATGTATTGCACGCGAAAGCCCAGAAATACATCTGCGCACCGGAATGTATTGCACGCCCCAGATCTATTGCAACCCCACAAATCTATTGCACCTATTGCACCACCCCCTTGTCGCTGGACCCCCTTTTCGGGGATCTTCTGACCCGGGTCAATCCAGACCCAGGTCAGCAAGAAACAGCAAGAAACCAAAAACTGCAATGCAGAAAAACAACTGCAACGCAGGTCTTCGCAAACCCGGGTCAGCCAATGTGCGCGGCCGCCTCGCGGCCACGAGCGGCTCGCTAACCCGGGTCAGCCAGAGAGGTCTTCGCAGGATCCTGCAGGATCTGGTGCCCTGGCTGACCCCCGTTTGCGTTGACACCCGTCTCGAGGCTCCCGACCTCTTGGGCCCACCCGAGCGCCGGGGCGCGAGGCGTCCTCTCGTGGCGATGGGCATCATGAAGGGGTGCAGGTCGCCGAGCCCCCGCCAGTCGTCCTGCGGGGCAGCTCTCCGCCCGCCCCTTCGCCGGAGGGGTCATGGCTCGAGTGGGGGATCGACCACAGAGTTGATTTGCCCCCGACTTGCTTTTTCTGGTCGAGCCCACGGGACATTCGTAGAACTCTCGCAGATCTACGAATGCTTGACGTATTTCTGTTGAAGAGTCGACGTGAAATCAATTCTAGGGTACATCAATTCTGTAGTCGATCCCTCAGTCGAAAGGCACGGGCGTGGACTGGCTTAGGGTAAGGTTGCTCCCATCGTACTTACGGACCACATCCCAGAAATGATTTCGAGCGTCCGGACAAGTGTCGAAAGAGTGTCGAAACAGTGTCGAACGAGTATCGCCTCCCAGGGCCCGACCTGTGAAAACCCTCGAACGTTTCGGCACCTTCCTGGTGCCCGATAGCATTTCTGGTGATCAAGGCTACGGTAGGTAGGAACATCATAGGCCTGGGGGTGAGAAGCCTCGAGCTGGAATCGGAGATGTCATCGCCGATAGCTCGGCGACGGGCCCCCGATGGCGAACCCGTGCGGGCCCGAGGCGGGCTCTCGGGCCCGTACCGGCGACGAGTGGGCGGTTGGGGGTCGATACATCCACCTCTGAGCCTGGCTCCCACTATTTGCCGCTGCCCCTGATGCTCCTCGGTCGCTCCTCGCCGAGGAGGAGGAGGAGGAGGAGGAGGAGGAGGAGGAGGAGGAGGAGGAGGAGGAGGAGGAAGTCGAGAACACGGCCCTGGACCCCCGCCCCGACGGCGACGGCACAGCGGCGTGACCGCCGCTGCGTTGGCTCAAGGCCACATGCAGGACGCGTGCGCGGGGTGCATGCGTGGGCCTGAGGGCCCTGGAGCATAGCGTGGTGCACCGAGGGCACTACGAGCGGGGAAAAGAGGCCCCGCGACTTGGTAGCGGAGCCCTGGTCCACTTCGGGCTAGGGCTCAGCGCTGCCACTGCGCGGCAGCCGGAGGAGTCCGGCTTCAAGCGGGTCATCGAGGTGACCCACGGCGCGGAGGAGGCTTTCATCGAGGTGAAGTTCAGCCTCTCCGCAGACTACGACATCCGCTACGACGGCGTCAGCACTGGACAGCTTCGGTGTGAAGAAGCATTCTGTATCACAAGAGTGAGCTTGCTCACAGATCACGTACATCCGAGTGTTTGGCGAGATGGAGCATCTTCATCTCGAGGTTAAGGGCAGCCTCAAGGTCCCGCCGGCGTGGAGCCCCGAGCAGGACAGGCAGTACCCCTTTCGATTCTGGCTGACAGATGCGACGATGTGGGCTGCAGCGGCGGCGAGAGAGGTTATGCCCGAGCAGCAAGCACCAGCAGTCGCACCACGACTTGGAGGTGCAGCAAGGAGCTTAGCGAGAGAGATTCCACCAGAACAGCTACGAGACGGAGCCATCGCAGACCCAGGTGATGGAGCAGGAGCGCGACAACTCACAGGACTGCAATTACTGCTGCTCGTTCTTTCCAGACCATTCGCCCCGCTCGGTGACGAGAACGAGAGCAGGGCAACCTCAGACTTGTTGGGCTTCTATCGCAAGAGCTACGAGAATATAGATCAGACGCTCAGCAGGTTCGAGGTCACACGACGACGAGCAGCAGCGCTTGGAGGATTTCAGATGGGACCCCAGGGCTACGCCTGGATGTTGATGACGGCCCTGGGCTGTAGCCCTGCGGAGTGGAACGAGTTGCTGATCCACTTCAGAGGCCACCTGCCGAGGACGGAGCAGCTGTTCGCGGAGTTGGTAGAATATATTCCACGGTATGGACACTTTCTGGAGAAGGGACCGATGTCGGTGAATCGAAGCAGCAAGGGCAAGGGCCACAGCCAGTTCTTCTTCCCGACGTTCAACTTCGGCGTCGGCGACGGCACACGGCTACACTGGCGGAGGCACGGCAGCATCGTGGGCCCCTTCGGCTCCCTGAGCGCCTACTGCTGCAGCACCGCCGGCGCCAGATCCGTGGCAGGCCTACTACGGCAACGAGTACGATGAGAACGACACGGACACGGACGACGACGACGGAGAGGTCCTGGACGGCTCGGATTTCCCTGGACAGATCGGCCAAGACGACGCGGTCATCCAACAGTACCTCTACCAGAACTACGTTTTTTCACAAGAAGCGCTGGCGACGGTTTACAGGCAGACCTACGAGATTCCACAGGTTTGGAAAAGGCAAAGGTGGCAAGGGATCTCTGATCCCGTTTCGTGGAGGTAGAGCTGTTGGTCAACGCGGACAAGGCAAGGGCTACCACTTCGAAGGAAAAGGGCGACGAAATCCAACCGGACGTGACGGCAAGGTCATGAAGTGCCTCACGAAGGGCTGTGAGAGCGAATTTCACCTGATCAAAGACTGCCCCCACCGACAAGGCAAAGGGCAAGGAAAAGGCAACTTCGTCACGAATGGACCTCGACCGGTATCAGCAGCCTCGGCAGCGGTGCCATGGTTCGGATTCAACAACACGTCAGCTACAGCGACAGCAGCGACGACAAGCAACTCGGCCTACGGTTCTGGATCGGTGAGCTTCTTTGCCACAGAAACGCCCAAGAACGACAATGAGCAGAAGGCGAGCGTGAGTGTGGAGGGCTCGCACTGCTTCACCGGCGTGGTGATATCGCCAGCGCAGCCAAAGGCCATCGAGGACAAGGCTCCTGAGTGGTTTGGACCGAGACCGATGGCGGAAAGCATGGAGCCCCCAACTACAGGGTCGGCACTGTCCTCGGGCGAAGGACCCTACTTCCCGATGCTACCGACCATGGGAACCACCAAATTCGGGGAGATTACGGACGTGCCATCGGGACCCACGTTTGGAATCGGACATATCTTGGGCCTTTCATCGATAGTGGCCCCGAAAGACGAGGACGGAGATAGAGTAACGGAGCCACAGACCGCTGGAGTTCCTCTCCCAAAGACAACGATGGGAACATCAGCGAAGATACCTCCGATGGTATCGGACATACTCGGCATCAAGAAGGCAGACGAGAAGCAGGACCCCTCCTCGATCAACGTAGGCGGCTTGATCTTCAGCCCTGTTCCGGCGAAGATGGTGACCCCCCAGAGCGCGAGCAGCGGAGTTCAGGACTCGGCGGCGAGCTGGGACAAGGTGTCGAGCGTGCCCGAGCAGCAGGTGGATCTGTCATCCTTCGACCTCGACTCCGAGAGCTACTTTCAGCCCGGACATCCTCATGAACGTGAACGCCCAGAACTACCGAGAGGAGCGGGCGAGGTCGCCATTCCAGATGATGACGAACACACCGAGCATGACGGGAAACACGAAGAAGTTAGAGAGGACAACGACGGCCAGCAGATCCCGCCGGACAAGCACACAGGCGGAGTGGACTTTAGCGATGATCGTGGAGACTTCACTGGAGTTGTCTGGACCTTGGGGGGGAACCGCGAGGAGACCTACCTGGGACACGAGCGCACCCGGCTTGATGGCGGCGAGATGGGCATCCTCGTGGACCCGGGAGCGCACGGCAACCTCGTCGGAGAACGCTGGGCAAAAGCCAAGCAGTACCAGCACGACACGGAGAAGACCGAATTGCGAGAACCCCTGGAAGTTAATGGAGTTGGAAAAGGACCCGATTACTGCCATCAGCAGTGGAAGATCCCTATCGGTACGCAGGAGATCTATCAGGAGGGCGATGGCAGCGGCAACCTGGACACGTATACGGCACCCATCATTCCTGGAAGCGATGTTCCTGCGTTGATGGGCAACAGTTCACTAAAGAAGCTCGATGCGATCCTGGAGTGCGGCCCTGGTATACTACATATATGCGGACCCGGACGCAGAGAGCTCGTTCTTCCAGCAGGGACTCGCAGCTACAACCTGAAGGAAAGCAGAAGCGGACATTGGCTACTACCCTGTTCACGATTCAGAGAGGCGTCGACCTCCAGCGGCAATACAGGATACCCTATTGATCGACTGCAACCTCGCCCCGAGCGCTTGGACTTCATGTGGGACGATTTCCGGGGAGAAATGAGCGGCCTGGGCTTAACACTCAATGAGATGTCACAGCTGTACGCCGAGTGCGAGCAGCACGTGCAGAATAAGAGTTGGAATGTATTTCAACATTCGCTGAAGGTGCATGGCATCTACAAGGAGTGCATTCCGAGCAAGAAGTAGGCCAGCATCAAGGAGATCTTCGGTGACAAGAAGGAGAAGGAGGTGCGTTTCGAGGTGCTGCCGGATCCGGCAGACTCCTCGGGCCTTTGAAGGGGCAGGGCTCCGGCCGCGGCGGCCGGAGCAGCTGCCGAACGCCGTTCGGCGACGCCGCATCATCATTTCCATGCTCAAGTTCTTGGCCACCGTTTGGGATTGGCAACTACGATGCGCGCGGCACGAGAAGGAGGATGGCCCGTGACACAGGTGATGGCCTACGACCAGGTGATAGGCAAGGAAGCGCGAGATCTGAAACGACACCTCACCGATGGACGCTTCCGGCTACTGTGGGCAGATCTACCGGGACGTCGAGGAGCTGAGCGAGGACAGCGACCCCAACAGCGCCTACGACTTCTTGAAGACTGCATACGAGCACAGGTGGCTGGGGGCGGAGACGCCATGCTAGTTGCTGAGCGTGGGAGCTCTATGTGGGCGGACCCGACGATCCTGAAGCTTAGACGAGAGGTCCCCCACGAGGTGGAAATACATTGGTGTTCTTTCGATGTGCAGTCTCTACCGGACGAGGCAGGAGAACGAGGATGGAGTGACCGAGTAGACCGAGTACAGTCTACCTTCACGGTTCGAGCCCAACCATGTCAATGCCAAGGAAAAAGACGTCGGCACAAGAGTGATTGGAGGAGCTCGTCCGGGAGCGACGAACGCAGACAACAGCGAGACGGACGAACAGCACGCACAATACTTGGTGGCGATGTTTCGGGAGATCAACGACGCCCTCTTGTTAGAGGGTAACCGTTCACCACCAGAGTCGAGAACTATGGAAGCGCCTACGGGCGAGAACACGGCAGGCAGTGACGAGAACTCCTAACCGACGGAGGCGAGGATGCGCGCGAAGATGAAGTCGCTGACCGACAAACCGAAGGAGGCCAAGAAGCAGAAGTTTGAGATCGAGAACCACTTCGACGACTGCGGAGACAGCATAAAACGTCTGGCCATGGACGACTCCCTCTTCGCCATCTACGAGGACACGGACATCTACTCGGATGACGACGACGACATTATCCTGTTCGTGGAGGAGTTCTATGACGGCAACAACTACGCATCATGCCTGCGGGGAGTTGCCGGAGATGATGGAGCAACCTGGTACGAGGGACCAGGAGTCAGGAAAGCAGCAAGTCTCTCGCACCTCACGGCTTACCTGGCGAAAGCGGCCTTCGGCATGGATGTGTTGGAGATTTGCGGAGGACGAGGCTACGTATCCAGGATTTGTGTGCGAAGAAAGTGCAGAGTGAGACCCAACTTCGACATTGTTTGCGGTGCGGACCTATCGGATCCCAATGAGCAGTGGACGTTGTGGCACTACTTGGAGCGTGGAGTGATGGTTGTTATCATGACACCTCCATGCACCCCCTATGGACGTTTCTCCAGCGTAAATATGGTCAATGCGACGGATAGCTGGAGGGAAAGTCTCGAGCCATGCAGGCCACTGGCCTTGCTATGCGGAGAAGTGGCACTGTACCAGCTGCGGAGAGACCGAGCCTTCATCAATGAGAATCCAGCCGGATCCAAGTTATATCAAGAACCACCGTGTCAAGCAGTTGCTCAGTTTCCTGGAGTCGTATAGGCTATGGTGGATCAGTGTATGGCCGGTCTGCAGAGTGCTCGAGGCATACCACGACAGAAGAGGACGGAGCTATGGGCATCCCACGAGGCACTACTACGACACGTGGTTGGATTTCAATGCGATGGGAGTCACGTGCATGATACGATTGAAGGACGAGAAGCCACGTCGAGGGCCAGATTGTGGCCCTGGAATTTCGCGGTGGCTATCGCCAATGGCGTCACGGACTACCTGTCGGAGAAAAGAAACGCAGAAGTTAAGACGTACTTGCAGAACACTACGGCGTATCCCGGGGCAGCAGCACCAGCACCACTTGAGGAGCATGGACCCTGGGTCCCGCCCTGGGATCTGCCAGCCCCTCCAGATGCAGTTCCGGAAGGAGGGGGCCGAAGGAGAATATCCAGAAAGACAGAGGACGCCGGAGTACCAGCACCTGTACCTGAAGGTACCCCAGCACCAGCACCAGGACCACCAGCGGCAGCGATTCGGCCCGCAGATCCGAGGACGCAGCTACGACGAGTGCGAGAATGGGAATGCCGAGCTTGCAACGGAGCACATGTTCCACACCCTCGGGTGCCTGGATAAAATGTCGGATTGCCACGCCGGGAGCACGAACGTGGAGGTGTAAGCAGTGCCAGCGAGGCAAACCCGAGGACGCACCTGGACATACCCTCGTGGCAGGACAGTGTAGATGGGCAGCTGAAGTGGGCCAAAGGCCAGCTGGAGGGGGACGCCGACGAGCACGAGCAGCAGCCCACGACCCAGCGCCAGGAGCAGCTGAACCAAGACCAGACGGACCTGTGGACGCTGCCGATGTCCCAGACTCACCAGCACGACCTGAAGCAGATCAAGGTATGCTAGGGCTCCCAACTTCGCGCTTCGCGCTCCGCGAAGCGCGAAGCGCGAATAACTTCGCGCCCTCGCGCCGCCCCCCCAAAGGGAGAATAGGAGGACGAGGAGGAGGGGGGAGAAGGAACGAGGACCGCGAAGCGCGAATAACTTCGCGCCCTCGAGGGAGCCCTTGAAGACCAGACGGACCTGTGGACGCTGCCGATGTCCCAGACTCACCAGCACGACCTGAAGCAGATCAAGGTATGGAGGTGGACTGGTCGAGCTGGGATCTTGGATCCGCCCTGCGGGCGCTGCTCGGCAACAACGAGGCGGTGGCACGAGGAGTGCTACGTCGACTGCACCTGAGGTGGTTCCACGCCAACAAGAAGGCCATGAAGCGTATGCTCTCAGCCGGAGGCGTGCCGCCCAAGGTCTTGCAGATGGTCGACGACATCGTGGACACCTGCAGAGTTTGCCGATTGTGGATGAAGAAGGGAACCAGGGCGACCACGACGATCAAGCTGAGTGTACAGTTCAACGACGAGGTGCAGTTGGATCTCCTATTCTATGAACGACGCGTTGTTGGACATCTCATCGACGGTTGTATCAGGTTCACCGTGGCGCGAGAACTTCCAGATAAGACGATCGAGACGCTCTTGGATTTCATATGGGTGAACTGGATACAGGTCTTCGGGCCTATGGCAGTACTGACCGTCGACGGCGAAGGAGCTATGGCATCCGAAGAGGCGCATGCGCAAGTGGTTGAACGACATCACGATGTACTACGCCGACAGATGCATGTCATAGACGCACATATCCGAGAGCTCGGCATCAAGTTGCCCTTCGCTCGAAGACTGGCCGAAGCAGTTCTCGCTAAGAACTCGTTCCTGACTATTGGAGAAGGCACGCCATACAAAGCACTTTACGGACGTGTGCCTCTCGTGCTCAGGGATTTCGATAGGAGTGGAGCTCAAGAGTTGGATGATGAAGATGGACTAGCGATGTTCAGGCACTCGCAGAGGCTTCGAGAGATCGCGACCATGTCTATCATCGAGGCCACGGCACAGGCGAGGACGGAGCGAGCTGCCAAGGCACGAACGGCCCCGGCGACGGAGGATTTGCATTTGGAGATCGGAGACCTCGTGGACTTCCACAAGCCGGGGAAAGCGCCAAAGGATGTGCCAAGCTGGAAGGGACCAGCCAAAGTTGTCTCGGCACAAGCACCAGAGACGGGGACGATCACCATACACTGGCAAGGACGCGACATGATAGTCAACACTCCTGATGTTAGACGTGCGATACTGTATAGCTATTCCGTATCTTCAATGGCCGTTGAGAGCGACCCAGCGCTGACCCTATTGGATTTCGTACATAATATCAGAAAAGGTTTTGAGCATCTCGGCTGGGCGAGCACGTCATCAGGATGGGCGTTGACGAAGATATCTAAGAGCTATCCCATCGTGGTGGCTGCCATGCTTCAAGTCGCTTCTTGCGGGCTACATATCAGCGGAGCAGTGGCCGCCCGAGTTGGCAGGAAGGTACCAACGCTTCCTGGACTTCACGATTTCGAGCACTACTCCTTGTGTTGGTGGACTGCGAGGCGGCTGGACAAAGGAGAATCAGGAGCGGAGGCCATGTGCTATGGTGAAGGATCTGCAGCAGAACATCTTAGCCTCCGATATATCTTCGGCGAGAAGGAATGGTCTTCGTGCTATTTCATGCAGTTCCTGACTGTGGAGCCTGATGTTTTAGATGTTCTGCAAGGACAGGCCCAACAGATACCACACGGCCTCACCTATTAAGAGTTGACGCATGGATGCGCGAACAACGAGAGATACGGAAAAGGGCCCGTTCGGAAGGATCGCAAGCCTCGGAGAATCCAGCAGAGCATCTAGCAAAAAGGTTGGAAGACGAACCGCCAGATAGACCAGAGGCACCTCCCGGGCTGCCAACGCCAGCTGAACCTACTCAAGCAGCAGACGACGGCGCCAGCACACCAGCCAGCGGTAGCACGGTTCCAGCGGAGGCAGCGTCGTCATCAGAAGAGTTGTACAGCCTGGAGGCTTTCTGGGCAATACCGAAGGAGGACTCGGACTTGATGAGGGACGTGGACGAGAACGGTTTCATGGACATGATGGGCTACCTCACGGAAGAGCCAGACATGTCCGTCCTCGAGCG